TCTTTTGCCAGATGACTTTGAACTGTCTCTCTAACAAGAGCTGGCATTCCCAGAGAGCAAGAACTGGGAAAGTGATCTGAGGAGCCAGGAGATTACCAGCTGACGAGAAAGCTACAGCACAGAAGAACAGTTCTGTCTTAACCTCACCTGGCTATCACTTTAAGTTGACTTGTTTCTACTCCAGAAAGTTTGACAATACTACTGAAGCATACAGCACCATCCTCAAACTGGTATGATAGAAACATGATATTCCCAATGAAAAACAAATTACTGAAATGGTAATAACTGCATCATCACACAGACAACTGGCATTACAAAGCCTGGCTCTTAGTTATTCCCAGCTCTGCTGCTGGTGAGTCACTTGGTCTCTACCCATTTTGGATGAATGGAAGTGAAATCTGCCTTCTCTAAAATAAGTCCTGAAAGGCTAATGACCAAGCACCGTGAAACAAGACATTACAGCAGAAACGCAGCACAAAGAACACTTATCCAATCATGGTCTGGCTCTGCCTGCTCATTTCTAGGAAATTTTGAAGCATCGAAGCAGAAGACCACTGTCCTGCAGCAGTCTCACTGTAAAGTCAAATCCACGATCCATAGACATTTACTGGCTTGAAAGAGTCTTAAATACTTGCATTTAATTAAAAAGCGACCACCTGTTCTGATTATGATTAAAAAGCTGTGAAACTGAGTCCTAACAGCTTTTAAACTGTCTTCTTGGAGACCAAATATCATCAGGTATGATACAGCTGAAACCTGTGCCCTATACTGCTAGTTCAATCAATTTCTGAGCGTTCAGGAGACAAGACTACGTGGTCAAATGGGTATAAAACCCTAAGTACCTTTTTAAATAAAAAAAAGGATGTTAGGTTGGATCGTTCTGAATCTAAAGCTGACTCACCACACGGCCACGGGTGTGTTACTTGACCTCCCTGTGCATTCAGTAATGCATCTGCAAATGGTGTAACGGCAACACCTCAGCGCCCGAGCCGCATCTCATTTTCAGTCCTGAATCAGTAATCGATGTGTGCCCGAAACGGCAAAGAAGAAGTCACCTCCTCGGAGAAATGGCTGCTCTCTGCAGGCTCCATCCACCTGACCCGACAGGTGAAGAGGGAACGCCAACAAACAGGAACGGGCAACCACAAATTTAGATTTGAGCCATTCTCAGCAGTAACGCCGAATACGTGACAAGGTATCAGTCACTCCAGCCCAGCTCAGGGACGCACTCTGTTATGATAAACCAGACGCAGAGGAATAATATTTATACTTTATGCATATTTTCATTCGGGGTCTCTTTCATCCGGTCCTGTTTTTGCGTAGGATCACACACTTGTAGATGTTGCCGCTCTAGGGCTCGAGTCGCACGCTCGCAGCTGCGTTATGCATTAAAAACCTGGGGCAAAGATGCCACAGAAGGACAACACAGATCACCAGCAAATCAAGACTAAGTTTCCCCAATAATAACTGCTGCCAGAGATCCCGCTGTCATAACACCTCAGCCGCTCCCGAGTCACAGTGCTAAAGTCAAAAGGCACGAGCGTCGGTTCTCTGCTGAACTTCGATTCACTGTAAAACAGAGGAAATTGGTTTCCTTGCCACGTAAGCCTCAGGTTTTCTCAGAGCTGTAACTGCACAACACCGCACAACTTCATCCCAGAGCCCTTTCCCAGCCCTGCGCCGGCCCCTCTCTCCTACTGCTGCTTCATTTTCGGTTCCCCATCACTAACGATAATGCTGAAGCCAGCAAAGGTTTTCAAGTTTTGGTACTTCTTTTTCAGAGTGCTTGTTCCAAAGCGCGAGTTATACGCGTCAAACTACGGTACTTTAAATCTTTCACTCCCATCTCCTAAATGTGTTATGAAATCTGTTGCTCGCTTTCTGTCAATGTTTACAGTTTTTTAAGTCATTTAGTCAACTGCAGATAAAAACACAGAAGCTGAGGTTGACCATAGACCCGATTCTGCCAAAAACTGCCATCAACACACTAACTTTGAGATGTTACAGAAAATGAGATACAGGTTGCTCAGAAAAATTTACCCATTTGCAAAGTTTCCAAGGCTTTCATGTACCTAGTGGTGACCCTTCGGTCAGAGGACAACCAGACAGCTGTGAATGCTCAGACCTGCAGCTGCTTTCACAGTGTGGTATGTGGAGACTCCTGCCTCATTAAGAGATGTTTAAGTGAGATGTTGATATACAGGCGGGTCATGGATGGCACATACATTCTTGGCGAAGCAGGGAGTTGATGTGGTACTATACAAGAGATAGTGAAGAAAGCAAAAAAGGCTGCATTTTAAAGGTAAATACACAGCAAGAAGATGGGGAGGGGGGTGGTGTCAGGACAAACAAGGCAATTATTTCTCATTGCTCCGATCAAATTACACCAACTTATGTCCCTAACGCTTCGAGTTCCAAGCCCCTCATGAATCTCTGTATTTACTTTTTGTTCATCCAATCTTGTCTCACCCCATTAATCCCCACCTCCTCCACACTGTCAGCTGCCAAGAGGCACACAGACATCCTTCCTACCTCTCCTGTTATCAGTTAGAGCAGCCCTTGGCTCGCGCGCGCCGTGACCGCTCCGCGCCGACAGCTCTCAACTGCCTTGTGGTTGGGCTTCAGGTTCCTTCCCTTTTCCCCTCCCTCCGCCAGCACCCTGCTTAATCTCCCCACTCCTTTCCCAACTCTGTTTCTGAGCTTTAATTTCTACCAAGCAGGCAGCCTTCGTGCGCTTACGGGAGCGCCGGTATAGATGGACAGGCTGCACTGCAACACGCACCGCACGCTTGGACGTGTAAGCCCACAAGTCCTCTCCTCTTCCTGATTTCTCAAGAATTTCTCATCGCACCTCTCCGCGATGCCAACTAGCAATTAGGCTGAAGAGCAAACAGAAATAGTCGGCACATTATAATTAAAAATTCTAAGTGTTTAAAAATGAGTCAGAACTGTTATCCTCGTACTAAATACCAGCTGCCCAAACTCACGTACTACCTCCCATCACTCCCACTGTCCTTCCTCCTAATCCCCTAGACAAAACACCAGTGTTACTGGTGTACCAGAACCACAGAGAGCAGTGTTTTATTAGCTCTTAGCAGCCACAAAACCACCCCCTTTGGAGCTTCTTTTGCCAGCACCAGACTGCTCTGGATCACTAGATACGAGAAACACTCAGAAAATTATGCTTAAAAGTAACTGCTGTTGGTGAGCTTAGTTCTCCATTCTTTAATTCGCTTCTTTTGTATCGTACACAAGGGGAGGATGTCTGGGTTTAGCAAGCTCACGACAAGCAACTTACTGTTCTCCCTAGAGCTTGTTACAAACCTATTCGCTCTGCAGAGGCAATGTTTCCTTCCTCCAGGGCAATAGGGGAAGCTGCACTGTTGTCACTGCCTGACTTGCAGCTCTTATGTCATAGAAACAGCAATTACAGGTGTTAACTAGGGCAGGAGAAACACCAGATGAACACCTCAAAAGAGCGCCATCATGTTTCCACCTCAAGGTCAAACATTAAATTTTTTAAGCAACGTAAGATATTTTAAGAGAAACACTTTACCTGTAATGTTTGTTTGCTGTTCTAAGGAGAGAGCTATTATTATTTGTACTTAAAATTTCAGCTGGAAAACTAGAAACACAAAAACTTGCCTACAAGTGAAACTATTATTTGGTCTTACGCTTGACAAGTACCAGAAAAGACCTGAAACCAAAAAAATCTATTGAGGGGGCGATTAAGAGAAATTTTACATTCTTAAAGAGATGCTCAAGGGTTTGAAGTTTTACTACCCATTCATTTAAAAAAGCTAGAATTACTTGGCAGCAAAAAAAACCCAATACCAAACAGGACTGACTTATGTCATAGCATTGCTAATATGCAAGTCTTTTCAGCCTTCAAAATACTGTTAGGTACTTTGTGCTGGTTTAAAGTGTGTCATTAGTTACAACCAAGACCTTGTTTAACTAAGTTATTGCAGTTAGGGATTCATAAAGGCACCTACAAACTTTTACACAAGTAGCCTTGTTCCACCACTAACAAACCAAGACATAAATAAAATTAGGTGCTACTTAACGAAGGGGAAAAGCTCTTCCTACCTGCTACACAATGTAAACCAAAAAAAAATAATAAAAAAAATCACCAAGTCTTTCAAAAAGCGCCCATTTAAGTAATTGATAACTTCAATGCAAAGAAAGTTACAATACGGGAATAAGGGGAAACAGTTAAAACATTACAAGTCTGCTCAGACAGACTCTTTTCCTTTTTAAAAGGAACAAGTAGCACAGTTAAATTTTATATTCTCCTTGGATGGCTGTGTCGCACAACACCACATCTGCAACCCATTAGATGTTGTTTAGGAGCTCGAGGGGAGCTCGGGCTAGATAAGCAACGAACAACTTGAACTTTTGCTCCCCCCCCCCAAATATACATTCCCACATCACCTAAAAAAAAAAAAAAAGTAAAAAAAAAAAAAAAAAAAATTAGAGAAGCTTAAAAGGAGAGCGTTTACACTGTTACACGCCTTGGTTTTCCAAGGGTTCTTCTCCCCACAGCTCCCACCACCCCACAGGAGGTCAGAGAAGTCCTGGGAGACACAAAGCCGCCAAGAAGTTGCTGCCAGGAGCCGGGGCAAGGCTTCCACCCGCCGGCTGCGGGCAAGGTTAGGACAAGAAAAATAATAAAGCGGCGGCCAGGCCGGTCGGCGGGCACCCTGACAGGGGTCACCCCTCAGCCAGGCGCTCCCTCACCTCTGCCAGGCCCCCTCTCCCCCCACACTGGAGGATGCCCGGCCCGGTAGCACCAGGCCCACCGGGCGGGGGGGAGGCGGGGGCCTGCCCGCCCGCTCCCACCGGCCCCGGAGGAAGGATGGCGGAGGGGAGGGGAGTGGAAGATGAGGCCGGTACCCCGGTCCCCGCCTCGCCCGCCCACAGCGGGTCTAACGGCGACGGTTCCGCCGCCCGCCCGGCTGCGGCGAGGCGGCCCGCCCCCCCCCACCGGCCCCACTCACCTGGAGGACACGCAGGGCCCCTCCTGGGGGGCAGCAGCTGGGGCATGGGCGGTCGGGAGGAGCTGCGTCTCGGTGGCCGCCGCCCCCCTCTTCTTCTCCTCCCGCCCCGCTCCTCCTCCTCCTCCTCCCGCCTCAGCCCCCGACGCCAGAGAAAATGTCACCGGAGGCCGCGGGGCTCCGCTGCGCGGCGTCACTTCCTCCCGCCGCCGCCGGAGCAGCCGAGCGCCGCCCAGAGCGGCCGCCGCGCCCGACAGCGCCACACAGCGGGCGCAGGGCGCAGGGCGGCGCCGCCTCCCGCCACTCGGCGCTGAGGGGAGCTGAGGGGAGCGGGCGGGCTGGCGGGCACAGGCACACACACACACGCACACACACTCGCGACACCGCGCATATCGCGACAGCCAGCCCACACGCGCACACACACACGCACATACAGAGCCCGACACCCGCCGGAGACGCCTCTGGGCATCGCCTGAGGGGAGGCAGGTGGGCTGAGGTGCTGGCGGCCATGGCGGCTGGGCAGGTGTGAGAGGCCCGACGCCACCTGAGGCGCCACCACCACCCCCCAAGCTGGCCACGCCAGGCAACTGGTTGCCCACCGCTAAGGCAACCGGTGGCTGGTGAGTCGGCCAGGAGGGAGAGCTGCCAGGGGGTGAACACCACCCCATTGAGTGCTGCAAACCCAGCGTGGCGGTGGGGAGGCACCTCACCGGAGGAAAAGAGTGGAGAAGGAGGAGGAAGAGGTGGAAGGAGGCCAGGAAACGAGAAGAAAGAAGCAGCAGAAGCTGGGGGTCTACCTGGCTGGGGGGCAGCGTGGTGGAAAGGGGACCTGGGGGCCCTGGTGGAGAATGGGCTCAGTATGAGCGAACAGCGAGGTGCTGGGGGGGAGCATGCCGAGGGGATGCTGGGTTACATCAAGGGCATCGCCAGCTGAGATAAAGAAGCCATTATCCCACTCTACTCAGGCCAAAACTGGAATACTAGGCTCGTTTTTGGTCCCCGATATACAAACAAGACGTGGGCAAGCTGGAGAGGGTCCAGAGAAGGGCCACTAAGATGGTCAAATGACTGGGAAGCCTGCCAGATGAGGAAAAGCTGAGAGAACTGGATTTCTTAAGCCTTGAGTAAAAAAAGACTTAGGGGAGACCTTCTCACCATCTTCCAGTATTTGAAGGGTGGCTGCAAAGCAGGTGGAGACTCCCTTTTTATGAGGAGTCACATGGAAAAGATGAGGGGTAGTGGGTACAAGTTACTCCTGGGGAGATTCCGACTGGATGCAATCGGAAGATTTTTCACAATGAAAAAGAACAATTGGCCATTGGGAATAGTCTCCCCAGGGAAGTGGTGGATTCCTCATCATTGGGCACGCTCGAGAACTGGCTGGACAGGGAGCTGGGTCATTTTCTCTAGACTCTGCTTTTTCCAAGAAAGGATGGACCAAGCGATCCCTGAGGTCCTTCCAACTGGGTATGCTGTGATTGTGGATTTGGGTTGATGGTTGGACTCGATGATCCCAAGGGTCTTTTCCAACCTGAATGATTCTATGATTCTATATGAATGTCTTCCCCTGGTGCAGGGGCTGAGCTCGGGAGAGACACAGGTGCAGGTGGTGGGAGCCCAGCACTGCAAACACCTCCTGCTGGTCTCTTGGCCAACGCTTGTTGTCCCTCCAGCGCCAATCCTGGTGATCCTGCCTCCACGCTGCCTGGGATCAGAGACCCAGGGGCTGGGTGGGGGCAGCGTGGCGTGCAATTAGGGTGGCATTATAATGCACACATTAAACATTGTTCTGATCTTGCTTAATCAGGGCATTTAGCTTTGCAGCCCCAGGGCACGTATGCCGCACAACCGCACAGCACGGTGTGGGTAACGCTCTGCAATTTGAAGGCATGGAGCAGCAAGCCTTACAGTAGGGTCCCTAAATCCTGATCCAGCGTTTAAGCATGGTCCCTAAATCCAGTGTTTAAACATGGATCGTGGAGCAGAGGCACCCTGGGATGGTCCTGCTCCTCCACAGAATCACAGAATGATACGGGGTTGGAAGGGATCTCTGGAGATCATCTAGTCCAACCCCCTGCCAGAGAAGGTCCACCCAGAGCAGGTTGCACAGGAACATGTCCAGGTGGGGTTTGAATGTCTCCAGAGAAGGAGACTCCACCACCTCTCTGGGCAGCCTCTGTCAGGGCTCTGACAACCTCAGAGTAAAAAAGTTTCTCCTCACGTTTAGGTGGAACTTCTTATATTCAAGTTTGTTACGACAGCTGCTGCTCGTTATAGGGTCGATCGTATAGAAACATGACATGCGTGTGCACCTTCCCCCCTCCCTCTCCCCCCCTCAAATCATGTACAGGGGCTTGGGAAACAAAGGCAGACGGCACATACTGCCTCGGAAGAATTCATCACGTCGGGGAGAAATAAGAATAAGAGAGAGGTTCAGGTGGAAGCAGAGTCACATCTTCAGGAATTCATGATTCCTCTTGTAAAACAGCACTTTGCAAGATGTTTCTCACCAAACCTGTTAAAAACCCTCCTTCGCAAGAGCAGCAGCTGCCTGGCTGCCTCCGACACTGGCGGTGACAGCAGGAGAGGGAAGGAGCAGGGCTCTCAGAAGAAGGTAAAACCTGCCCCACGTGGGGCTGCTATGGGGGGCTTTAATCCCCAAATCAGCCCTGATTTCCCGCACGGCTGGAGCTGTGCCCTCCCACCGGCTAAAATCAACCTCCACAACCCTTCCCTGCATCTGGGGAGAGGATGCCAGATGTGTATGTAGGGGGAAGGATGTGCTTTGGAGGCAGGACTCCCAAAGGACAGCCGGAGGAGGGGATGCTGCTGCAGGGCAGCGGCAGGATGGGGCAGAGAGGAAGAGGCAGTGTGGTGTTGGGTGGCATGCAGAGGAGCAGGAGGACACCGGCGAGGGTGGTGAGCATCTGCCCAGCGTTGGCAAGAAGAGCAGTAAACGGAAAGGAGCTGCCAAGAGCCTCCACTGAAGGAATCAGCAGCCTGGAGGCATGGCAAAAGGAATTTAAAAACAACAAAACCCCCCCAAAAAAAAACAACCAAGAAAATTCTGACTATCATAGGTACAATGGAATTAGTAAACTAAGCAGGGGAGACGTTAGCGATGTGTAAATATTTGAACGGAGTTAAGTGGCGTGAAGGGAGGAGGCTGGCGATACGTAAATGATTTTAATGGGGTGGAATTAAGGAAGGGCACGTTTAAGCCGGGAAGCAGGGTGGAAGGCTTCTGAATGGAGAACCGTGGGCTGGAAAATTGTCTCCCTAAGGGATAGTGGTGAAAGCTTTATTGCCTGAGATTTTAAATGCCGGATTAGGAGAAATAATCAGGGGACTCATTCTGAATTTTCAGGGAGATGGGCTGAAAGATTAGGAAGGGAGGAGGGAAGGCAGGAGGCGGTGCTGGCTCCAGGAATTTAGGGAGGACAGCCCAGGGCTTATTCTGGGCTCCTCTGGCTCTGTTTTATCACTCTTTGACCATCTCTGCCAAGAGTGAAACAATTTCCACAAGGAATGAGGTAAGAACTCCTCCACCATGAAGATATGTGGTTGAGAGATGGGAGCCTTGGTGGGACATCCCTAGGAAGGACCACCGGGGGAGGCAGCGGTGGAGGCTCTTCCAGGGGGACTGTCCTCACCACCCCTGAAGACAATGGGAGGAAATTAGCTCAGTGCTGGAGCAAAGGGGCAGGAGCAACCCCGAGCCACCCTCTCCTTGTCAAAGTAAAAGGTGGTTGTGAAAGCTCCAGAGGGTTTCCAGGCTGGAAAAGAATGACTTTCGAAGAACCCGTCCCCACGGCGGCACCCGTAGGCACGTTATGGAAGGGATTTATAGAAAGTCCATCCTCCCAGTGACATTTAAAGAACACCAGAGGGTTTCCAGGCTGGGCTGGGCTTGGGGGGCTGCCAAGGCTCTGAAATCACCAACGCCTGGCTGCTGAAACCCAGCCAAGCCCTCCCCTGGCTGCGCTCCTTCCGCCCAGGCTCTGAGGGGGGACCATGGGACACCGAGGGGTGCACCCACCCCCAGCTACACCCCACCTCTGCTGGGAAACCAGCGGAGAGAAAACCTTCCCTTGCTGCTGGGTTTTTTTGCCAGACAACATTGGCTAATTAAGCAGCCGTGCTGCATTAAACTTAATTAGCATTAAAGGCATCTTTAGCAAGGGGCTAGAGGAAGCATGTATTAGATCAGGCTGTAGTTTTGGAGTTGTTGGGTGGTGTTTATTTCTTCACCAGAGATTAGATGGCTCAGGAAGGATGGTGTGATGCCCAACGGCTTTGAGGTGAGGGAGGCAGCGCCGCATCCTCCTACGGAGGTGGTACCCAGCGAGGAGAGGAGGAACTGCAAGTTTCACTTTAAACACACACATATTGGTAATACCTCTGCTTACTCACTTGTGAGGTGTTTGTTTTGGGTTTTTTTTCAGAAGAAATATTTCTGAATTGGAGAAGCAGAAATACTTGCAGCCTGGTGCTGAATTATTTTTTTTTTAATGAAGTGAGCATATAAAGAAACAAAAAATGTTTCTAAAGCCACCTGAAGTTACTAAGAGCAGCTGCGTACCCAGGGGCAGAGCGAAGGATTTCCTGCAGCCTGCAAGGCCACACAGAGCAGGATTGCTATTCTTTCACTGCTCACCCTCTAATTTGAAAATTCAAAGAATAGCTCGGAAATTAAAAAAAAAAAGAAATCTTTCCCAGATCTGTAAGACCTATTCAGTACTATATGTAATTAAAAAAAAAAATAATAAAGTCTTAAGTACACTTACAATTAGATGCATCATATCTTTTTGCTTGTAAGTATCCAAAACAGAATTGATAAAGAATATTTGGAGTGTACAAAATGCAACCAACTTTTTAAATAATTTAAAAATAATAAAATAGTTTAAGGATTTGTATTTAAGCACAAAGTCCCATATGGATATTCTATTCCTTTTAAAGGATCAAGGTTAAAAAAAGTTTTGAATACTTTCAAAGAAAGATTGAAAAGCGACCACAATGCAATGTTTGCAACAAATAATGAGTATTTCTACAGTAGTAGCCAAAATATATAGCCAAAAGAGATTCCATCCACATCAATTAATTCAATGCTTTTTGAATAAATAGATGCACATTTCAGCTCAGTAGCCTGAAATTTGCCTGATATGTTTTGTATTTCTCTGGCATTTTATTTTTTTTTTTATTCTGGTTTTAGTACCTAAATGTTTTCTTTTAAATAAATCCCTATCACTGAGTTAGTTTGGGGGTTTTTAAATTAAATTTAAATTTTAAATTTTAAATTATTTTTCGAAAGCAATTACTGTTCTTACCAGGCCAATATACAAAATAACGTCGCTTGGTGGTAAAATGTACACAAGGTTGAGGTTAAGCACTGGTTTTCATGTCTAGTGTATAATTTTAATTCCTTTTTTTCTTTTTTTTTTTTCTTTTCAGGTGGAGTTTGGATCCTCACGTTTTCCAGAAGGAGCAATTGTGTGGACAGTGATAAAGCACACGCATCTTTTTTTCTGTAAAACCAAGGGCTCTGCAGCTCCGCCTGGCTTCGGCTCTGGCTCCAGCTGCCCCGGAGCCCCACACAACTGCTCTCAGCCTGCAGGTGTTAACAGACTGGTGTCTCCAAAAACCAGGCTTGGAGTTCAGAGGGGAGCAGCTGCTGTAACCCGAGGTGAGGCTGAAGCAGAGGAGGCCTCTCCAGGCATTCCCATCATTCTCAGTTGGGTGATTATTTCATCAAACGCGGCAGCCCCGGCGGCTGTAGCTCCTCGCCACCCGCTGTCACCTCCCTGGAAACGCTCAACAGCTGCCAAAGCGGAGGGTGAAGCCCAAAAATCTCACATTTTCCCCGCCGAGGGCTCAGACGGGCGTGCTGCTGGCTCGGCAGGAGCTCTGCCAGGCGGTTCCTGCACCGGCATCCCATCCCTGTGCTGGAAAAGCTGGGATGCCCCAAAACACCAGCGGGGAGGAAGGATGTGTGTGCTTGCCCTGCAAGGCACTCTGCCCGTTCAAATGCATAACCGAAGAGCTGAGAAGTCTTAACTGGCTGCATAAATCTCATTTATTTGACTTTTTTTCTCCCGCTTCCATCAAAAGCTGAGCTGTCTGACCCGACAACTGGCCGCTGATGGATGGCGCGTGTGCTGCAGATGGCTCAGCTGTGGCACACAGCTCGGAGGCAGCTGCTGGCTGGTTGTGGGTTTTCTTGTTTTGTTTTTTTTTTTTTTCTTTTTCTTTTTTTTCTCCTCACTTTTCCAACACTTTGGAAGCAACACATGGCTGTCTTTGGGCAGCTTTTGAGCCCGAGCCGGGCCCCGCCGCTCTCTGTATCGGGGCTCTTTGCCAGGGAATGGGGCACAGCACATGGGGTGAAGCAGTGCAGCTGCCCTGGGAGTGCAGGGGGGGAGAACATCCCCCTCCAGGTTTCACAAGTGGTGTTAAGGGAGCACCAAACTCCCAGGAAATCCTCCCAAGCCTTGAGTCACCGTTACACGTGCCTGACAAAAAGCCTTCCTCTAACCTTATCTGAGTAAGTCCCGAGGCTCTCATTGAAAAGCGTCCTCAAGCCCTCCTCTAATCCATCTTCCTATCCCCAAGCACGATCAGCACTCCCTCGAATTACAGACACTTAAGCAAAGCATTTCTCATCTGCTCTTAAAAGCCTCCGGTGATTAAGATTCCTTAATTTGTCAGGCCATGACCTCCAGTGCCTTACAATGGCTTTCTTGTTAAATCGTTAAATCTGCCATCTACCCAGCGATGTTCTGATGCCTTTCAGGACGAGGAACTTCTTCCCCCTCCCACAACAGGAAAGATGAGGTTATTTTTCTTGCTCTTTGCGGATGCAGACGCTGCTCCCTTGCCTTCCTCCAGTGGTTCTTCTTTCTGTAAGCAGCAGCTGTACCTGCTGTCACCCCCACACTACAGTGCCTGCTCTAGATTTCACATCAGTTACCTCGCAGGCAAATTTCCCCTCAGCCAGGTTAGCCTGCACGTACAGAAGGTGGCTTATCCACTTGCTTTTGCCACCTCAATTTCTAGCCCAGAAGGAGCTAAAGATAAATAGCCATGGGACTAAAGCAACTAACCCCGGATAAATAGCCATGGAACTAAACCAACCTGAAGCCTGAGACTAAACAGCAACTCCCTCTGGCACGTGCAAGATGAAGCCAAAGATCCTCATAAGCAGCAGCTCTCTGAAAATCCATCCATTCTTCCCTGTCAAGGTGAAAGAAATGAGGCGCAGGAGGTCACAGGGTGAGGAGGCTGTGGCACTTCACTGACACCAGTGTCAGTCTGAGCTTAATTATACCCTAAACATAATCAGATAGAGATCTCGTGATCCTGTTGCTTCAAGGGAGGACGTGAAGCAACACAAAGAATCTCTTCTGCAGATCAGCGAAATCAATTTCTGCAGTGAAGCTCCTGGGAACAGGCACACCATGCTAAATCATTAACACAATCTTCTGCAGCTCTAATTGCAGACAGATGTAATTATGAATTGTCACGGAGAGCACCACTGCTCTTCGGCTGGAAGCCACCCAGTACAAACGGACCCCGATCCATGCTTGATGTCCTTGGGTGCTGCCACTCTTTCTAGATTTTGATTTTTTTTCCTCTGTCCACAGGAGATTTCCAGATTTTTGGCTGTAGTACAAAAATAACTTTTAAAAGCCGGGGTGTTTAAGGCCGGTGTGGTGGTGGTGGCATGGAAATAAGAGGAGGGCTCTGGGGATCCTTTTGGAAGATGGCATTTGCAGTAGAACTGGAAAGGACAATCAGCTTCAAAATGATCACATCCTACAGTGGTTCTGCAAAAATAACCATCTAGTTTCAGACCTAGAAAGGTCTTATTACAAAGCCCTTTTGTTTTTAAAGCTATTACTTCACTATCCATAAAGCTATTTATCTACTTTAAGTTGCCAAACTGTATGGAGAAACAAACAGTCAACAGTAGACTGATGTCTCTCAAAGCCCTGAACATGGACAAACCTTGGATTTTAGCACCACAGGCTTCCATTTTCTCCGATGACAAGGAAACTACACAATTTTAGGAGGCTGTTGCTCCTACGTCTCATCTCAGCTCTAACCTGTAAGCAGCAGTTTGCCAGTGAAGCCAGTACTGTGACCCATGTAAAACAAGTCAGGGCTCAGCCTGTTTCCACGATGGTAGACAGCCAATCCTACACAAAATAAAACCTCTTTGTGGGCTCAGATGCTGCACAATCCAGCAGGGAAAAAGCACAATCCAAAGCCCAGAGAGGGAAAAGAGGAAAACCAGCCTCCCTGATCTGTTCAATTCTAAGCGGTAATGATCAACCCGATCCTGACGTGGACATCTCCTGGTGAAGGTGCCATCTGGAGGCCAGTTACAGGTGTGTATCACATATGGAAACAGAACCACTACAGAAACAGTAAACTTGGGGGTTACTTTATGAAAAACAGGCAATTTTTACAAATGCAAAGCTACATGAAGCCCTAAAAGTGAGCATGCTTGCTGGAAGGTCACAACTGTGCCATCCAACAGCAAGAAGAGTAAGGCAGAAAGTGACAGAAGGACAGTAGAAAGTCCAAAATGTTTTGCTAGTGCAAATAAACAGACAACAGAAGGGAAATCTTCTTCCGTGCAGCCTGCTTCAGGTGAACTAGTATTATCTGGGTGATGGCAAGTCAAGACTCAGCTTTTCAATGTCCTCTGAGAGCTCTTCCTCCAAGGCTTTCTGGTGGGAGAGAAAACCAAGAGGAATTGGTGACCATGAAACAGTTTTCCTACATTCTGGTTAGACAGACATTACCCACAATGATCAGGCCTTGGGATATTATTAGCACTGATTAACCCAAGTACTGAACTGCAAGCAGCAGAAGCCTCCAAACAAAAGGCTAAAGAAGTTCCGTGCCCTTCATACTGTGACCCAATCTTATATTAGACACCTTCAAGCTGAAGGGGTAATACTCCAAAGGTGAGTATTCTGACCCAATAAAAGCCTCAGGCTGTTAAGGTGAGCTTGTATTTCTGAATCAAAACTTAAATGGCTTACCAACCTGAGCAGTCCCATCTGAAAACGTACCAAATACTCTCAAGCAGCAGTCATTTTTGACCACAGCTTTAAGGCTTATGACTGAATACCTCGTGCTTCATCCACGAGCAAGCAGACAGTAGCCCAAAGAAATAAAGACGTGTTTTATATGCAAATGTGGCCCAACTCACTCAGGAAAGCCATGTATAGCTTTGTATGAATGTTTTCCAACAACCACTCCTGAAGATCACGTAATCATGAATGATGGTGTTTTATAGAAGGTCCCCACTGCAGCCTACAGGGCAGCTGTTAAATAAAATATGGGCCCTTGAGCCCTCTTGGAGCTCAGGAGCAGCAAGGAAGGTTGTGAGAGCAATAAGCTGCAACAAAGCTGAGCAAATAAACATTCTGACAGGTGAAGCAGACAAAATCCAGAGGGATGTAGATACCTAATCCCCACTGATACCATTATGCCCCAGCTGCCTTTGTAGCTCAGAGATCATTCCTCCACTAGTTGCTCGTACCAATACCCAGGGCTTCTCCCTTACCGGAGCAAAATTTCCCTCTAGGGATCATTAAGACCACAATCTGAGGTAGATAAATCCACAGCCAATTAATATATAGAGAGAGCGCGCTTATTTTGGAACTATAGTACTCATTTAGATCTCTGTGAAAGATAAAAAAACTCTTACCAGTTCTCGTTTTGCTTCTTCAACCTTCACTTTCGCAAGGGGAATACTCTAAGGAGACAAAAATCAGCATTTCAGCTGGAAACACAGAGCCTCTGCATCATTGCAAGAGTCTAATGATGTGTTGCAGGGGAATTCAGGGATAATGACATCAGTTTTATGTGCACCCTTCAAATGCAAAAGGTACTGACATTAAAAGCCCCGTACCAGTTTGGTTTGGGCAATCATGCAATTTTCAAAAGTCTGGTACAGCCTAAAATCTAAAAACAAAAAACAAAAAACACAAAAAAACCCACCAACCCATTTTAAGCAATTTTCCAAACCTCCTAATCAAGGAACTGGATTTTGAACATATCGGTGTATAAATTTTCCACAGAACTATCAGATTGCAAAGATAAACCTTCCTCCCTCCTCCTGCCTGCACCAGAAGCGAGGCATCAGGGCTCTCTCCATCTCCACTGATGCCAAGGTGGGAGGGAGGGGGGAACTGGAGAACCTAATCTGATTTGAACGACCCGTTTTGCTTCAGGAAAAGAGGCAGCTGCCTCTTGGAGTAAGATGGATTTAAAAAAAGAAGCAGTCCCACCCTCTCCCTTCATCTCCCTCCCTTTAGGAGGGAGATGTGTTGAGAGTTAGGGGCTTGGTGGAGGGGCTAAGGAGGTGAAGAGACAAGTGTGGCCCAGCAGACAGTGCCCAGTTCATAATATAAGAAATGCAATTAATCACAGAGTTCCTAGGTGATTTTTGGATAACTTTCTATTTCTCTGGACCTTTGTGCCCCATTTACAAGAATTGGAATAAATATTTTTCACCTCTTACATGGAAAGGTCTGAGGTTAGCTCTATTAAAGGCTGTGGGATGCTCAGAGGAGGTGGTAACAGGGGCCCTTATCAGGTAATGCAAATATAAAACTGCAAAACTAGACAGTTAAAATTGTATTTAACAAACCCAAAAGCCATTCAACTATTCACACTCCAGTTTTTGCTACTTCTCCCCTGAATGACAAGGAGAAAAGTCCTTAATACTCATCTGTAAAAGCAATGGTTATCTTCCAAGGGAGATTGGAAATACTTGGGTCTTGTGGTCCCACTGGTGGTGATGTACCAGCATCACACAAAACCAAGACTTTCTGTTTCATGGACTAAAGCCCTATTCACCCATGACTTCCTTAAGCCATTATAAAGTTGTTCACAAAATTACCCTTAACGGAAACAGCCTTATGTAACAGGAGTTCCAATTTGAAAAAGAGAAAAATCCTTTTTATGAAACACCCTTCACACAGCAGTCTGATAGTAACTCCTAGCATAGGGAACAATAGTGAAAATAGTCAAAATATAAAATTAAAAACAGATACACAGACAGGGGCTTTCAAAACAGCAATTAAATGAGAACCCCGTGATTTCAGAGAGCTGAGTACCCAGCACCCTCAAGAAAAATCAAAGAAAATGATGGAGCAGCCACTACGCGTAAGTTAAACTACTTGTTCAGAGGACAATGCCTACATTTGGCTGTTTCTTCATAATTCTTCGAATATTGCTCAGAGCTCCAACCTCTGCGCAATGTGCTGTGTCCACCATATTGACAGCTTGATGACATGTATAGCTAATATATTGGTAAATCTCAAAAAAAAAAAAATTATACTAAGTAATTTCGTTTTCTTCCACATTTCTTCATCTAATTTCTAGCTAATTCACCCAGCAAATCTGTGCATTTTTTTAGAACAAAGTCTTCCTGGTAAGCATACTCAATTTCTTGATTTGATTTGCCTTGATTAATAAATAGATGGCCTTCTGTTTAAGTAAAGCCTTCTGCTTATACCACCAGTAGACCCGTAGGACATCTGCCTGCCCACTGAAACTATCACAACAATATCCTTTACATTCTGAAGTCCATTAAAATTAATCTGATGGCAAATACAATAGAACAGTGGAGAAAAAAATAATTACGAGAGGTAAATCTTGGTAGACCGCCAGTTTATTCTTCAAATCCACAATTTCTTTCTGCAGTTTAGCCACTTCCTGTGAAGAGAGCAAGGAAGATTATATTCCATAGTCTTACTCATAGAAGGGATGTAAATCAGTGAAATAGATTCACAGTTACCTACAGCATTTCAGAATTCACAGATGTTGGCAAGAGCTTTCATGATCCTTCTTAAAACCCATAGAAAACGAAAGATCTGCTGTTCATTCAGTCAGACAAAACCAGTTCAAATTTTAGAGGTATCAATTACACTCTGAAGGTACCTTCCGATACTTTTGCTTACTGATACCACCTCCCTGAAAGGTGAGGGGATTTCCAGTGGGAATCCACCAGACAGAGGACTTTTGCTCTCAGCCTCACTCAGCTGAGCCCCACGGAAGGGGCTACAGCTTCTGTGTGAAAACAGTTTTGCACAGGGGGCAACAAAAGCACTCCCCTTACACTGCTTTGCTCGTGCCGTTAACGAGGGGAAATAATTTCTCTTTGGGGCTAAGCACCTTCCACAGCCCTCAACTCTTTTCAAATAATCAACTTAAAGTAAAAATAAATAAAACCAAAAAAGCGCTCTGAAGATAAAGTCATGTGTGCTGCCCAATTCACTGAGCTCTTGGCAAAGCAGATATAGAAAATGTCAGGGAGTCAAACGTACCCTTACGCTCTGGTTGCTTCTAGAAGATGACAAGTCTAGAAAATCCCCTATGACTTTTTGTACGTAAAATGCCAACAAATTATTTTGGGTTCTGTGAACAGAAGGCTTGTGAAACACGTGTGCCATGTAAACACTGCCACCCAGCGCCGGCTGAGGAGAACGGCAGCCTAAGGATCAGGAAACCTATTTTCATCGTTCCACCTTAACTAAACACGCAGGAAAAGCTAGCAAAAAGAAACGGGGAGAAAGACTACGGTCTTATTACAGTAACGGCAAATAATATTGAAGTGTGGTGAGTGCAGACAGAACAACACAAATACACGTGCACAAATGCTGGAGAATCTATAGCTAGTAACTCAAGAAATACTAGTAACTCAAGAAATATGTGTTTTCCTTTAACAAATTTTCCCCCTGGGCTTATAGTACAGCTGAAAAATGTTATGTTTAAAGATACAAGAAAAAAACTCAGAAAAAAGTTCAGATTTTGCGTTTCACTTGACCTCCTCCCCTTGCTCCAAAGTGCTTGAAAGCAGGTTTATTTCACACAAACTAGAAAGAATCACCCAGGTCATTCTATGAAGTAATTTCAATACACAGGTAGCCACGTAACAGGATACAGCCCAAAGAATATCCACTCTGTTTATGGCACAGATCACGGAGAGTGGATCATGGGCAGCCCCTCAGCATCAGGGAATTTATGTCACAGAAATTCTCTAGTAGGCTATATTCCCAGTTACAGAAAGAGGCACAAACAGAAGAGAGAAAAAAAAATCAACAGGCAACAAAAATAAAGACTCCAATTGTTCCCCTCAATCAGTCCAGAAAGAAAGCTTATTCCCAAGTCCAAAATATGCCCTCATCCAACCCTGAAGAAAAGGTACCAGCACCCACAGATTCTTCTCAGTTTCTAGGTGAGCCAAACCTATCCAATGTACCCCAGCTCAGATGTATCAGTTTATGGGATATTTAATTGTGCTTCTTTTTACCATTAGTATTTATTCGGGTAACCAAACAGCAAACTACATTTCCTGAAAGCACCCAGCAAACAAGCCTGGTCTGCACCACTGTAGAAGCATCACTCTTGGATCAAAAGACCTACCTCAGACAGGTTCATGAGTGACTCGTGTGTCAGTGAAGGGTCGAAGCCTGAGGCAAGAAGCTGCTCCTACAAACAGGGAAGAGCTCGTTCATAACCCAACACAAAACATAACAGGGAAGAGAAGAAAAAGACTTTGCCCTTTCCTTGGGTTTTGGTCTAAAGAGGCAAACAAGAATGCAGTTTGTGAACAACAGAAACATGCTACTTGAACCACAGCTATAGCTGTGTATATAAATTTTAGTAGCAACTGATTTTATATCAAGAATAACAAGTCTGTACAGAAAATTAGCAGGGGAAAAGCACATGGCGAGGCTGGGAAGAGGCTTCTCAGTAAAGCATCTTCAACTCTAATACCACATTTTCCATCTCATTTCCAATCCCCCCCCCAAGGTATTTAATATGTGAACACTATCCAATAAAGCATCCACGTGTCCTTTATCATGTAGAAAAGGTGAAGGAGAAGACAGTACAACTTCTGCCTTGTGTTTAATCATTCATTAGTTTCAAGAAATGGCTATATGCAGAATCAATGCACAGTTGACCCCCGTGAGTTTCCTGGGAGCTGTCTGTGTGCTCAGCCCCTCGCAACACGCATGAGGTAGTTCCAACTAATACAGTTCTCAGTGAAAGAAGAGCAAGTGTCCTTTCATTTAGTATAGAATGCCCCCGGGAGAGACCATGAATATAGCAGGAACAACTAAAGTGTAGGAGCATGGTGTCCTGTTTAGCCCAAGAGTCCTCAGTCCTGGACTTTAGGAAGCTCCTGGGATGTCTCTGCAACTACAACTTTGGGCCCGACCAACCAAGACTCTGCCATCCCATTACAATGACTTTTTAGAAAATTCCTTCCATCTACCTCAGCAGCCTTGATCCTGACTGCTAAATCCTTAGATTTATTTTTCAGGAACTCCATGTTCTTGTATTGATGGTGACTTTTGTGGTTTTCTCCTTTCAAGTATTCCTCTGTTTTTTTAAAATCCCTTAAAAAAAAAAAAAAGCAAAAAGAAGCAAACTTACATTCAAAGAAATACCAGTACACAAGTACCACTTAATTATATATGCTTAAGCTATAATACAACCAACGCCAGAAGGGAGAGAGTGGAGAAAAGCTTGCATTTCCCTCTGAGATTTCTCAGTGGAAACATCCACAGCTGTTACATCCAGACTCCCAAAGGTTAGGGGGAAAAAAAAAACAATAAGGCCAAGGGGAAAATCATCTGCATAAAAGCACGGAGTCAGTCTTCTGCATAATTCCCTAATTCTGTTAGAGACCTGTTAACCATACTAAACTTAAATCAATGAGAGGGGCCATGGCAACCCTGCAGAAAGCACACTGGTATCTGCTACAAGCAGCAACACAATTCCTACTTTAAAAGACAAAAAAAAAATCCAATGCAGAAAGTAATTAAGATTGGAAGGGGGCTGTGAAGATCATCTGGGCCAATCCCCACTCAAGGCAGGGGCTGATGGTGCTCTGCTTGGCGAAGCACCTCAGATTACATCCTCTAGAGAATGCACTTGATACCGCTTTTTTGTTTGTTTGTCTGTTTTAATCTCCCACACTCCAGTTAAAGGAAATTCTTAACCTGGGAATGGTTTTTGTTTGACTCTGACTACAGAGCCCACGCGAGATGCGGTAAAAAAATCAGGTTTCCCTTCAACCTCAGCTTAAGGCAACTGGTGGAAGATGCCAGTTTATGTCTGAAAAGTGCTCGTAGACCCATTTTTGTTTTAAAATAACAGAATTGATGATGATTACTGGATGTGTCCATCGCACATGGTTTCTGATAGATACTTCCAAATATTTGAGTCAGAGATGCCTCAAAATCCTGACAATTCAGTTGTCCTCATGAGTTACCACAACCAGTGCCCCACATGGTGGAGATCAGCAGTGCCGCTTACACCTTTTCCCTTCTCTCATCCATTACTCACTCCTTTAGCTGCTCTTCCAACGCCAGCACTGCACTCATTTCTTCCCTCATGCTCATCAATTCCTCTGCCATTTCCTTGTTTTTTGATTCTACAGCGTACAACTCCGAAGTCATATTGTTGATGGCACAGAAGAAGCTGGTGAGGAGAGAGAGATTCAGTGGGAATGCACAGAAGTCAGCTCTTCTGAAACTCAGACCTATTATTATTTTCTCCACACTTTACATAAATTACTTGGGTTTTTTTCCCACGTTATGATAGGAGGAAATGAAAATCAGACACTAAGGGTATTTTCTTCCCTTAACTAATGAAGATTTCATCTGGAAGGGGAAATGGCATGGCAATCGTGGTAGGAGGAAGCGAACAAGACGTGGCACTCTGGTGAATATAACCCCTGGGTTTGAAATCGTCATATGCTTCTCTCCCAGATTGCCAAATTTGCCTTTGACAGAAACTGCATTCAGTCCCTGAAAACACATGTCCCCGAGGCAATATCCAGCAGTATTTCAGTCCCAAATGGTTCAAAGCTGCTCACCCCTCCTTCTCGGGAGAAGAGCCGTAAGAGCCAAGCTCCTGAACGTCACACAAAAATTGGATTCCGTGGCAGAATTTGGCCCTTCCTTACTGTCAGTGCTCAAAAAATACCTGCTGTGTTACAGGTCAAAGCCAGGCTGGGGAGAGGGGCCCAAGGAAGAGCAGGCCAACAGCTGCCATTTCTCTGTGGCCACTGACCACAAGAGCATGGGCCAAAAAAAGAGGGTTTTAACTCCAGCTGAGGCACTTCTCTGGCTTCGGAGACTTTCTTTGCTGGGACAATCAAGAGCTCGAGCTTTGTGCTCAGCTCCTGCGTACTCCAAAGCTGCCCACGGGTTGCAAAATAATCTGGACAAATAAGGTTTCCTGCGTGAAAGTGAAGTTTGAAAGTGTTGAATGGATAAAACAGAGGGTAAACAGCACAGACCACAACATCTGATGCAGAATGGGAAAAATTACCTGGCAAGAGAAGTGTCCTTGGTTTTGAGTGCCATTGCGCTCGCCACCAGGACATCGAGGTAGCCCATGCCTTGGCTGGACAGACTATGCGGGGAGAGGCCCAGGGCTTCTCTGAGAAGGGCCTCTAGGTACTCAGCTGAAAAACAAATACAACCCAAAGCAGTCATTTTTTTTTTTCATATTACTGATCTTTTAAGGCCTAGATGCGGCTGTCCCTTTTAACACACCTGTTAAAAATGTGTTATGGTCCCGGGAAACACTCCCTTGCTCCAAAAAAAACCCCACATTATCAAACACTCACTGCAGGCAGCTCGAGCATAACTTAATCACCTCACTGTTGTTTCAGATTCCTCAGGTGCTTTCCTTAACAGTGGATTAGCACCAGCTCAGACTCTTAAATCAGCAGCAGGGTTGTTTCCCCGCCGATCCAGCCAGTATTTCAATGCTCTGCTACTCAGCCCAGCAGGCTAGGAGGTTTTGGCAATTAATCTGCTTCTCCGTATTTACAGCCTGCTCAAGACAACTTAAAAAATTGCTCTTGATCAACCGTATGTCACCGTAAATTTTGCTGAAAGGGAGGCATGGGACGCATCGTAGTAAAAGCTGTACCAGAACAGAAGCTGAGTTTGTTCCAATTTTATATATAATTATATCATAGAATTGTCCAGGCTGGAAGAGACCTTTAAGATCATCAAGTCCAACCATCAAACTAACTCTGATAAAAAACCCATCACTAAACCATGTCACCAAGCACTATGTCAACCCATCTTCTGAATACCTTCAGGGACGGTGCCTCAACCCCTTCCCTGGGCAGCCCATTCTGATGCTTAATAAACCTTTCCGTGTAAAAATTTTTCCTAATATCCAATCTGAACCTCCCCTGGTGCAACTTGAGGCCATTTCCTCTTGTCCCATGGCCTGTTCCTTGGGAGAAGAGACCGACCCCCCCTGGCTACACCCTCCTTTCAGGGAGCTGGAGAGAGTGAGAATGTCTCTCCTCAGCCTCCTTTTCTCCAGGCTGAACACCCCCAGCTCCCTCAGCCGCTCCTCACAAGACTTGTGCTCCAGACCCCTCACCAGCTCCATCGACCTTCTCTAGACACGCTCCAGCACCTCAATGTCTTTTTGTGGTGAGGGGCCCAAAACTGGACTCAGCCCTCGAGGTGGGGCCTCCCCAGTGCCCAGTACAGGGGGACGGTCACTGCCCCAGTCCTGCTGACCACACTGTTCCTGATACAGGCCAGGATGCTGTTGGCTTCCTTGGCCACCTGGGCACACTGCTGGCTCATGTTCAGCCGACAGTTGACGACCACCCCCAGGTCCCTTTCCACCAGGCAGCACCAGCCACTCTGCCCCAGGCCTGGAGCGTCCATGGGGTTGGTGTGGCCCAAGTGCAGGACCCCGCACTTGGCCTTGTTGAACCTCACACCACTGGCCTCGGCCCATCCATCCAGCCTGTCCAGATCCCTCTGTAGAGCCCTCCTACCCTCAAGCAGGTCAACACTGCCACCAAACTTGGCATCATCTGTCAACGTAATGAGGGTGCACTCAATCCCCTCATCCAGGTCATTGATAAGGATGTTTGTTTGCAAGATTTTAACAAAGACAATCTTCAGGGCCACTAAGAAAAACTAACTTTGCTGGAACTGGGAGGCGGAGCTTTTGAACTCACTTTTTTCTTCATATTCTTCTGCCTTCTGCTTCATGTTCTCTATCAGCAAAACAGCATCACTCTCTCTGGCTTCAGTGCATTCTGCAAGGTTATACAAGAAATCAACTGTGCTTTCATTCACTTCCCATTCTGGGATAGGCTTATTCCCATATACTTTCTTTAGCCACGTGACAGCCTGCCAGAGAAAGGAAAAAAAAAATAGTAAAAAAATTAGGACGACGTCAAGTGAAACAACAGAAAATAGCTGATAGGTGTGAGAAACGTAAAAGTGCTGCAATCTACATTCCTGAAGAATGACTCCTACTACACCAGTGGAGGTATGGGTGGAAAAAAGTGAGAGAGCTTCCTTTGTCTCTTTTTCCAAACACCCTCTGCAGTTTAGAAAACAATTTCCATATTAATCTCCTTCATTTCTCTGGACACCTGCTTATCTCCAGGTGATAATTTTTTTTTTTTTTTTTAAATCACATGACTTGTTTGCTACAGACACGCTAATGGTCCAGGAGATGTTAAGTTGGTATTTATTAATGAAAACTCTACTAAAGCATCATGGGATAAAAACCTGCCCTAACCATGATCACGGGGAACAGTCTCTATGGGCTCGTGGGGTAGAAAGAGTTAGTAACAGTGTGCAGACGTGAACCCCCACAGAGCACAATTTCTGCCCCAGAAAAGGTCAGAAATGGGAGAGAGGTCAACGCAGTGCTCTCAGATAGCGCTGAAACATTAGATTATGACGGTAATAACTGAACACATGGGAGTTTAACACTGAGGAAACACAAATCCTTGTCTCAGGCTGCCTAAGCAGCCTGATGGAAAACGACCCAGCCTTGTAACTTAAAAAGACATTTCCTTCTAGCATGTCCTTCTTTATGCTCCTACCACTCCAGCATCTCCACTACACACACTCCACATAGCAAAGATAAACTGAATCTTTCTGCCACTCTCTGTAGGGCCAATGACATGACACACAAAAACTTCAAGCACCCAAGATCTTCGTAACCTAGACTTTTAAACAAGCTGTGAGTTTTAGAAGTCAGCGAGCTCACGGACAGCAGAGGTGAACACAGACTGTGCTGCTGCAAAACCCACCCAGCGACCACATCTTGCCTGGCCCCCAAAGGGGCAAGAAAACGACAGGGGCTCATTTCTGTTCTTGAACCACAGAGGTCCCAGCACCAGCCAAGCAGAGCGACAACTGGCCACGGCCCAGCAAAACCTCCAGGGCAACCACTTGGGTGCCTCACCCACAAGGACAGAGATGGACACCCTCAGGAGAAGGGGGTAAGGGCTACAATAATGCACTGAGGACTCCACCTCCACCTCCACCTCCACCTCCACCTCACCCCTCCCCGCCGTTACCCGCTCGAGCTTCTTCTCCATGTCGGCCCCCGCCGCCTTGAACCGCCCGCCTTCCTCCCGACGGCCCCTGCGCGCACCGGCCGCGCCGCGGGGCCTGATGGGAATTGTAGTTCCGAGGGGAGAGGGCGATGCGAGCTTCCCGTTTTACATTCTTGAAACACACAGAAAATAATCAAAAATCATCAGTTCCATTCACTAGCTGCGGCGAGCGCTTTCACCAAAGTGGGTCGAAATGCTCTAAACGTTTTGAAAGAATTTGCTTTCCCCCTACGCCCAGTATTTCCAAGAAAATAGCCTTGAATCAGTAAAATAATTTGATTTTTGATGGAATTGTGTCTATTGTAAGGCTTTGTGTTTATCATAAGGCTAATTACAAATAAAGGCATGTAAACCCCTTAATCTTATTTTAAGTTTAAGGGTAAAGACTGAAAATTGAGTGGCTTGCATACTACTGCATGTATAAATCCACATTAAAAATACACTCCTGGTTGGAAAACGCACTGCAAAACCACATCTGCTGAGTCACGCTCTTAAAACAATCACCAGGGAACGGCTTCTCTTCCACAGCATTGTAACAGAACTACAAAGCCACCAGACTGAAACAGATTATTTAAATCAATTGGGGTTTTTTGTTTTGTTGTTGTGGTTTTTTTTTTCCCAGTTTTACAGAACCTGAAGTGATTACTGAGATAACCAGCGGGAGAAAGGCTGCCCGAACGTTGTGTTGGAGACACAAGGTGTGCCAGAATGAGCGAGGAATTTTCTCTGAACCTTTCCAACTCCCAGAAGGGCCGCTGGGCTCCCTGCTTTGCTGCGTGACCTCTCTGGGTCTCCTGGGGGACACCATCGCTTTGGCGGGGTCAATCCCACATCCCACACAGTAAGGGGAATCAGGGGAAAACGAGGAAACAAGAAAGGCTGAAATAGAAATAGATTTAATAGGAAAAGACTAAATAATTAACATTAATAATACTAAGGAACCATTATTGATCCCGATACCAATATAACATACACAAGAACTATCCCCAGCCCATTCTTTCTCCCAGCAGGGACAGCCAATAGTCATAGAGTTGTCCAGGCTGGAAGGGACCTCCAAAGGTCATCTAGTCCGACCCCCCGCAGTCAGCAGGGACACCCCCAACTAGACCAGGTTGCCCAGGGCCTCATCGAGCCTCTCCTTGAATATCTCCAGGGATGGGGCCTCAACCACCTCCCTGGGCAACCTGTTCCAGTGCTCCACCACCCTCACAGTGAAGAACTTTCTCCTAATCTCCAGTCTAAATCTGTTCCCCTCCAGCTTGAAGCCATTGCCCCTCGTCCTGTCACTGCAGGCCTTTCTAAACAGGCTCTCCCCAGCCTTCCTGTAGGCTCCCTTCAGGTACTGGAAGGCTGCTATTAGGTCTCCCCGGAGCCTCCTCTTCTCCAGGCTGAACAACCCCAGCTCCCTCAGCCTGTCCTCGTAGCAGAGGTGCTCCATCCCCCTGATCATCCTCGTGGCCCTCCTCTGGACCCGCTCCATCAGGTCCATGTCCTTCTTATACTGAGGGCTCCAGACCTGCACACAATACTCCAGGTGAGGTCTCACCAGAGCAGAGTAAAGTGGCAGAATCCCCTCTCTGGACCTGCTGGAAACACGTCTTTTGATGCAGCCCAGGATGGGACTGGCCTTCTGGGCTGCAGCTGCCCACTGCCTGCTCATGTCCAGCTTCTCCTCCACCAGCACCCCCAAGTCCCTTTCCTCAGGGATGCTTTCTAATACCTCACCCCTAGTCTGTACTGATGGCGAGGATTGTTCCGGCCCAGGTGCAGAACCTTGCATTTGCTCTTGTTGAACCTCATGAGGTTCACCTGGGCTCACCTCTCCAGGTCAATGTGGGACCCTGCGAACACTGCAGCTTCGGGAGGGAAGGGCTCAGGGCTCCGGCACCGGGGCAAGGAGTTCTTAGGATGGCAGCCATCAAGGCAGAGAGAGAGAGCACTACGCAGCAAACTTTCTAATTTATATTGAATGTGACATTCAGGGCACAAAATAGTCCTGTTAGCAGCTTGAGTCAAGTGCCTGGGTCTCACCCCTCCTCATCCCTGCACCTGGCAAGGCTCAAAGACACTGAGACCTTGAAACACACATCCCAGAGCTGGCTATAAAGTAAATATTTTCATAAATTCAGATACAACAGTCTTCTAAAAGTGCCGTTTCCCCAAGCCGCAGAGGAGGAGTTACTCCTGTGCCGCTCACACCAGGACACAGACGGATCAGAGCACAGAATCACAGAATCTTCTAGGTTGGAAGGGACCTTAAAGATCATCTTGTCTAACCGTCAACCTAACTGACAAAAATAGACACCCACACAACAAACAAGAAGCATCACCATCACTAAACCATACCTCCCAGCACTACATCAACCTGTCTTCTGAACACCTCCAGGGATGGTGCCTCGACCACCTCCCCGGGCAGCCCATTCCAATGGCTGATAACCCTTTCAGTGAAAAAATTTTTCCTAATATCCAGCCTGAACCTTCCCTGGTGCAACTTGAGGCCATTTCCTCTCATCCTGTCGCCTGTGACTTGAGAGAAGAGACCGACCCCCACCTCTCTACACCCTCCTTTCAGGGAGTTGGAGAGAGCAATAAGGTCTCCCCTCAGCCTCCTCCAGGCTGAACACCCCCAGTTCCCTCAGCCTCTCCTCACAAGACTTATTCTCCAGACCCCTCACCATCTTTGTCGCCCTTCTCTGGACCTCCTCCAGCACCTCTATGTCTTTTTTATGGTAGGGGGCCCAAAACTGGACACAGTACTCGAGATGGGGCCTCACCAGTGCCCAGTACAGGGGGACAATCACCTCTCACAGGGAGGCTCCTCTCGGCCTGCGGGGCTGCTGCCCTGTCACCGCCACCTCTGGCAGCACCCCCGCCCTCAGCTTTTCAAGTGTCACGTATTACCAGCAGACCGGCTAAAAATAAAATAAAAAAAATAAATAAAGCTCTGGTAAGAAAAACAGGGCGCCCGTGCCCCTGGCCGCCAAATATATATATGCATATATTCCCTCACGGCTCAGGGGGCTCGGGGAGGGGGAGGGGGGGCGCCCTGAGGCGGCCTCTGGCGAAGAGGGAAGCACTTCCGGGTTGCGCCCCGCCCCGCGCGGTGGGCGTGGCCTGGCTGAAGCAAAAGGGGCGGAGGGCGCCGCCGCCATTTTGTGGAAGCGAGCGCGGGGCCGGCAGCAGCCCGCCGTCTGCTTCAGCTTTCCCCGCAGGAGCCGCCACCACCACCGTACCTCTGCCCACCGCCGCCGCCGCCATGCTCTCCGCCCGTGTGGCTGCCGCCCTCGCCCGCTCCCTGCCGCGGCAGGCCGGCCTGGTGAGCGCGCTGCGTCCTGCCTCGGAGCGAAAAGGCGGGGGGAGGGAGGACGGGACACACGAGTGCCGCCGCCATCTTGGGGGCCACGGTGACATTGAGGGACCGCGGCCTCTGAGTCTCGTCGGGAGGATGGGGCGGGATGTGTGTGTCTGTGTGGGGGCTCGCTTTAGCGCTGGGGGACAGCGGGGTTCGAGCCTTTGCTGAGGACGGGGTGCCTTCGGCTGAGGGGTGGAGAGGGCCGGGGGGACGGCGTGTCCTTCCCCGGGGATGCGGGTTGGCACTGGTGAGGTCTGCTTAATACCCTGAAGGCTGCTCGATTCCAGTCAGGGTTAGGGATTGGAGTTGCGAGGCTTTACCAAATGGCATTTTTTTCCCTTGTGTTTGTGGAAAGAGTGAGGGTGTGAAGGTCTGTCAGGGCCTGTTCCCAGCCTACGTCCCTTGTGAAGGTGAACGGAGGAGAGGCCTACCCAGGCTTACACTGCATGGTGCTGCACGGCGAACTTTCTTTGGGATGTAGGATTATAATCTTTTAAAGCACTCGTTATCACAGCAGATCTTGGTTGGGTTTTTTTTCTTTTCTTTTCTTTTTTTTTTTTTTTTCCCCGTGCTTCAGAAATTCTGCAGTTAGTCTTTTCTTGGAAAGGCCAACCTCCAGAAGATGAAGTGTTATTTCTCCCTTGTGCAGAACCATGAGGCGTGCACCTATTTTTTTTTTTTATGCCCCAAGGTTTTGATGCTCAAAGCAACGGTGACAGAGGAGAGGCGGTGTTGCTTTGGGAGCTGCTGCAGTGCCGTGATGGTGACATCAGTGCAATGCAGAAAACTGCAGCCAGTAATTTAGAGCAGTCTCCGTTACTGCCTGTCCTTGCTTAGCAATGCTGGACTTGGTTCTGTAACTACAGTTATGGAGTGCTGTGAAGCTCAACTCAAAACTGAGACATGTTAAATACAGAAGATCATGATCAGAAATTTCAATGTGTTATCTCATCACATTTTTCTGAACGATTAAGGCAATCTCACTGTTACTGAAACAATTACTTATTTTAGGTTTCCAGAAACACCCTGGGTGCAGCGTTTGTTGCTACAAGAAACATCCATGCCTCCAAAACATGCTTTCAGAAAACCGGTGAGTCTGAGAAGGGTATTCATATAAGAGTGCAGTTTAAGAATTTGCTCCTTCAGACAAAAAGGAATTTGAATATGAGTGTGAGGGCGGTGCGTATCAGTTGCCAAAATACTTAAGGACATTTATATAGTGACAGTATTTAACAGTGAACTGTCTGTTACAGTCAAATCCAGGAGAGGTCACTTTAATGATTATTCAAATTATGCCCAAACCAAAGGAATGGTCACATGTCAGTTGGCTTATGCAGCTTACCTGCTTCATGGGGATTCTATTCAGTCTTCAACTCCTGCAGAATTATTTGAAAAAATGTCTCAAATTTCAATTTCCTGTCCTGTTGGTAACAGTGTGAAGAAACGGATGACTTTCCCAGGGCCTGCCTGGGTTTGACCTTGTGTCCTTGAATATAACTTTTGCTGCCAGCATCGTGGTGTTTAGAGAAGGCAGTGGTGCTGCATAGCTGTATTTTTGGTAGTGGTTCCTGTATGATTTTTTAGGTTTAGGGTGACTTAAAGGAACAGTTTCACACTATTCCTTACTGTTCCTTCACTGAGGAAACAGAAAGTTGTTGGAGGTTACTGC